GGCAGTTGGGGATGACCAGGCTGACGGCCAGGCACTTAGGGGCGACAAGGCTGGCAAGGGAGGGAAGTTAGGGGTGAGCGGGCCAGTAGGGATGGGCAGTTGGGGGCGACCAGGACTGCAGGGGGGGATAGTTAGGGGTGACCATGAAGTCAGGGGAAGGCAGTTAGAGGCAATCGGGCTGGCAGGGGAGCAGTTAGGTGTCAATCAGGCTGGCAGGGGAGTGGTTAGAGGGTGATCAGGCTAGCAGGCAGAAGCGGTTAGGGGCAAGCAGGTAGGCAGGCAGGTGAGTGGTTGGGAGCCAGCAGTCCTGGATTGTGAGAGGGATGTCTGACTGCCCTAGATAGGTCCCAGATTGGAGAGGGTGCAGACTGGGCTGAGGAACACTCCCCCCCTCCCATGCATGTATTTTGTGCACCGGGCCTCTAGTAATATCATAAGGAGGGTCATGGGAACTCCTCCCCATCTTCAAGGCAGCAATAGTGCATTGTACCATATTGTTTCTAATATATTTGACTACTTCTCTGCTACCAACTGGAGAAAACTGCTCTTACATAGCTCATGTGTTTCCCAGCTAGCATGATTCAGTCTTTGAGCATGGACCTATGAACCAAGAGGTCACAGTTGAGTTTGGGGTCAAGGCACATGACCTAGTTGTGGGCTCGATCCCCAGTGTGGTGCATGCAGGAGGCAGCTGATCAATGATTCACTATCATCATTGATGTTTCTCTCTCTCCCTCTCTTTCCATCTCTGAAATCAAAAAATGTGTTGTTGTTTTTTTAAAAAGCTATGTGTTTAGGTATGCACACTTAAGCAATCTCCATCTCTTAAAGTCTCCCAGTACCATATAAAAATCCAATCACAAGATTAATATTTATCATATTCACATGCCTAGAGATTGAAGTTTGTGGACACCAAGAAAGAGAATTCTTGAGGACAATGTAATTCTGCCTTAATTAAGGACCTTCACCTTACCTTTGACTCTGTCATTTACTATCCTACTAGTTACAGAACTCGTACTTCATACAGAAGAAAACCAAAGGGATTGTAATTTTTCAAGTATAGCAAAATAATTTCTGTTCCTAATGTTTGCACAATCAAACCCTTATTGAAATAATTCACGAGGAGTTCAAAACTCTGTTCAGTGACTACTTACCTCACTAGTGGACAGTTGATTTATTGTGTATATTGTTTATCCATAGCAACCAAGTTTGCAAAGGAAAGTTTACTTACAGTCATATTGAACTCCCCATTGTCCATTATCGATGGATGGACCGCGGTTAATCTTATGACTGATAAAGAAACCTTGATAATACTGGATTTCATATTTGAAATTTGCCAGCAGAGTCTAACTTAAAAATTCTCATCGAAGAAAAATCAATTCTTGTGACTATGTAAGGTTAACCAGACATTGTGGTGATCATTTTGCCAATCTATACAAATAGTATCAAATCATTATGTTGTACACCCAAAATAGAAATAATGTTATTTCCCAATTTTTAAAATTACAGGAATCTTGGAGTTCTTGTCTGCCAACCCTATCATTTCACAAGTGTTGAGCCTGAACCCATAGGAATTAAGGAATTTTTTTCCAGGTCAAACCAAGAGTTGGTCTAAACTGGGACTAAAACAAGCTTCCTGATCCTGGTCCAGTGTTCCATGCCCCAGTCTACTCTGATGTCATCAGACAGCTTCTTCCAAGAGGATCACAGTTGGACCTTCCCTTCTTTTCTAATGGCCTCTTTCCTTTGGATTCCTCCACATTTCTGAGCAGGGCACCATAGAGAAAAAGAAGGAAGATTTCTTGCTGCAGAATGAAGAGGCATCTACCAAATATTGCCAGGCTCAGCTTAAACAGCTTTCAGAGCCACTGTTGGAAAATATTTTGAGAGGAACATTCTCTGTGCCAGGAGGATACAATCTCTACGTAAAAGAAATGGACAAGGTTGAACATTCCTATAACCTGGTACCCAGGAAAGGAGTGAAGGTGAGGAATAAAAAGAGGGGATAAGGACAGCAGATGGGTGTCAGAGGGTCTTTGTTGATTCTTTTGAAAATCTAAGAGCACAGGACCATTTGTGCATAAACGGCAAAGCATGGTGATTTCTATACATTAGTTACACACTTTTAAATAAACAAAAAATATGTTTTCCCAAATATCGGATTTACTGTCAGGAATGTAGATGGAAGAGAATATGCCTTTCATTTAGGAAACAATGTAATTATTTTGTGCTATGTACAAGGATACATAATTAAAGAAACAATATTCTCAAGAAGTTTATGACATTACCTAAGGAAAGAAATATAAACAGTCAATTGAATGTGGTGGGAAAATGATTATCATATAAGTATATGAATAGTGATGTTTAAAATGATGATAATGATGATGGTGACGGCTGATATATATTGAGCACACAGTTACTAAACCAAGTATATTCTTAAGTGCTATGCTTGGATTATCAACTTAATCTTCAGGATAATATGAATTTAGGTAATACTGTCATCTCCATTATGCAATTGAGAAATGTGATGCACTAAGAGGCTAACTAGTGGCCTAAGAATACATAACCAGCAAATGATAGAGCTGGTAGGGCAGGTCTGTGTACCTGGCAGCCATTCAAATCTCAGAAAGAAGTTCATCAAAGCTTCCTGGAAGAGGAGGTAGAAGCTATAAATTGAGATTTCAATAAATTATATCTGAGTAAGAAAGGGTAAATGAGCATCCAGTCAGAAGAAAAAGAATGTGCAGATATTGCAAAAATGGAGGATGAGTTTATGTAGGATTGCATATTAACCTGGTTGTCTGTAACCTGGGGTGGGGGGTGGCT